TACTTTATAAACACAAATTTAATTTAAGTATCACAAATTTAACGCCCCTTGTTTCCCAAAATTTGCCTGCCCTCATCCCGAATCCTAACTCAGCCACTGAAGGTGGGTTAATAAATTCTTAGTAACAAGTTTTTGAAACTTTATGGGAAATCCTTATTCCTCATATAGTGGTGATAAATTCTTAGTAACAAGTTCTTTTTTAACAAATTTAGAAGAATTATTATTATTTTCTTTATAGTAGATAACACAACCAAACTCAGAATACTTACTGTACCAAGAAAAAAGGGGAAAAAAAGAATATCTTTCTTAAAGTACGTCTTTTACATATTTCCAATGATTTTAATTTTATAAGTGAGTTTTGACTTCTCAATTATGTTGACAATTATAATGTTTCAATTTTAGCGTTTATGATTTGCTGTAAGTTGTCTTCTCAACCATGTTGCCAGCTAAGGGGTGAATTTCAACATTTTTATTTTTCCCTTTTCTTTTTTTGATTGTTGGGCTGACAAGGTAAAAAAAACAAAGCTCAAATTTAGGATCTTAAATCTTAGTCTCTATTTGGTTAAAGTGACCTTTCTATCCATTCAAAAATCAAAAACTGAACGGCTTCTATAATCATTCAGTCTCTTTGCTTCAAAAGTCTCAGTGCTTTGTTTGATTTTTCTGGTCTAGGAAACACGCTCTAAATACTAATTTCCTCATTTTTATAATAAGAAACCATCAATTCTTAGACAAATGAGTTTGGAGATTCTATGTCCATGGATGCAAAAGATACGCAAGATTTAGTGCAATGTGAATTCAATGGAAGATTGGCTTAGAGGGCAGTATTATGTGTACAAAGGATATGGACGTTATCCCGAGAAAAGTACAGTGCATGTGAATTGATTGTAAAATGGTTTCATCATATGAACCTTACTTTATTGGGGTCTAAACTCTTGGTCTATGCATTCTTGGATTTATGTGTTTGTGATTTAATTATTTTGCATGTTGAGAGAATTTGAAGTCTTGTTCACAATAGAATCTAGTGCCCCCTTTACCTTTATTTAATATATATTTTGTTTTGTTGGCTGATAAAAATATAATAATATATACACACCTTTTTTTTATTGTTATCTTAATGTATAATTGTTAATGTCAATTCCTTTCCAATTTGTTTTGCATTGGATGTTTTAATTGCTACCATTATTGATATAACTAAGGAAAATGCTTAGTGCACCCCTGGTTCGACACTTGGAGTGTACACTTTACAAAACTAAATAATTATAAGAATAAAATTACAAATTTAATTTTAAAAGTCATCTTCCTTGCAATACCCCTTTTTCTTCTTGTCTCTCCATCTTCCTCTTCTAACAAATTCATTATCTTCTTCCATTTTCCTTCTTCCTCTTTTTTCTTTTTTTCTCTCCATTTGGGTTCTGCTGTAGAAACCTAGATTTGGGTTCTATTGGAGAACCCGAGAGAAAAAATGAAAAAAAAAAAGAGAGGAAGAAGGTGGGAACCTAGTACGGCTGCCAAATTGTCTTGCAGATGATTAGGGTAAGGATGGATTTGGTGCTTGAATGCTTGATTGAGTTTTGTTGGAATTTGTTCTTGCTGTCATTTGGGAAATGGGTTTAGTGAGAGGGTAAATTTGTAATTTTACTTTTAAAATTTTTTGGTTCATGTAATGTGGACCCAAGGAGTGTTGAATTGGTGGGTGCATGAATCATGGTCCACTATAACTAAATATATAGTGAAACAAAATCCAATTGACTTAGCCAAATATCACACACACTATAGATTGAGAAAAATATTT